TTTATTTCCCTTGCTAGAATTCAATCTGTGCAAGCTACATCACGCTTGCCTGTAGGTACCCCAAAAGCTGCTGCCCTATCTGCCCAGAATATGCCCTGGTTCTTCCTAGAGACTATTCCCTTCCCGCTGGCACCTGTAAGCCCTGGCCACACAGGAGACCGAGGGCTGCCGAGGAACGAATGTCCATGTACTGTTGCCTTGACTTTGATGTGATCTCTGCCCACCTTTAGGATCTCCACCCGTGTTCCCGCAGCGCTGGCACGCTCGGGGTTGCCGAGTGGCCTGGGTCCTCCCCTCCCGGGTACCTACACAAGGTCCCAGATGATGCAGGTGCCATCCGTGCTGGCCGTGACACACTCCTCGTTGTTCTTCTTCACCCGAATGCAGGACACGGAGGACTTGTGCTCCTTCAGGGCCTCCTCCAGCTTCTGGGTCTGGCAGCCGATCTGCCACACCCTCACCTGGGGGACCCAAGGCACAGGTTCTCAGTACAAACTTGGGACCTTGAAAGGCGCAGGATCAAAAGAGACCCTGAAAGCCTTTTCATGCTGCAGTGTCTGAGACTATTTTCTCTTGTAGCAGGGAGTAAATCCAGGACCCACTAACCTATCTCCCCAGGGCCCTCTCCCATTTTCCTTTTAAAGTCTGAGACAGCATCTCAGTGGGTAGCTGAGGTGCCCAGGTTGGGTACAAACTCGCAGACGTCCTGCCTCAGCCTCCTGGGATGCTGGGATTACAGTTGTGTGTCATCATACTAAGGTCCTGTTGTCATCTCGGTTGGGTGAGGCGGAAATGCTTTGTTAGAGGGAAAAAATATTCATGGACGAGATGCAGTCATCTTCCACGGAACCTGAGAAATGGGACCAGTGGTTCTATACCTGCTTCCACTTCTAGGCTGAGAACTTCCTCAGACACCCACTAGGAAAATCGGTCCTACGACGGCCTCCTCTAAACCAAGGGTGGTCATACGCCTCCTCATTCCCGCTGAGCCTGCTCCCAGATTTCCAGTGCCATCAGGGAATTTCTTAACATCCAGAACCATATTTAAACTTTCACATCAGCTGTTCCGTCTTAATCACTTAACACCGATGGTTCTCAACCCTGTGGAACCCAATACTCACTCTCTAGTGCAAACATTTTTTCCTGAAACAAAACTCATAGGTAATAAAACATCTACACGCCAAGTGTGGAACAATCAGCATGTGATCCTAATTTTAATAATAAAGGAAAGTCATTTAGTTACTATAGTATGACCTTTAATAGATAAAGGCTCTGTTGCAAGTACACCAGCACACACAGTAGTCACTGTGTAATGTAGCATATGCTGTCTTAGAATGAATGTTAGATTTTTAAAAATAGGGGGCTGGGGATATGGCTAGGTAGCACTCCCAGTGCCCTCCCTGCACCCCAAAAAAGACTTTAAAAAAGAAGAGGAGCCAGGCGTGGTAGCACATGCCTGGACTCCCAGCACTCAGGAGGCAGAAACGATTCTGCACAAGTCCGGGACGGGGAGGGAAGAGGGATCCAGGTGAACACTGCATTAAAAACTGGTATTTGGATAAATAACAACAGACTGGACTTCACCTGATAAGATGAAAATAACTTAAATGAAGTAAGGAAAGTACCCTAAAATACTTTGTACATTGTCAAAGAAAATGACAAAATGTGAAGTCACCCCACTACAGTATCCAGATTCTTATGGCATTGCTGGCATCAAGGAAAAGAAATGTCCTTTTGTTCTGTTGTTTTTTGTTTATTTCTCTGTTTTGGGTGCTAAGGATCAAAAGCAGAGCCTGGTGCCTGCTAAGCACGTGCTCTACCACTGAGCCACATCCCCCCCCCCCCCAAGTATATCTTGAGATCCCCACTACACGAGGAAGCTTTACTATTTAGCAAGGGTGAGACTGAGACTTTTGGAGCAGGGAAGCACCAAACAGCCCAGGATTCCAACCTGGGGCTTAGAAGCCCTTTGGCTAGGCCAAGCATGAACCCGTTAGCTGTGGAAGTGTTGGGAGCTTAGGGTCCACTTGAGGGAAGGGGACAGGATGGAGGCCTTGAAGAACTGACAAATGGGCGGGCGCTCAGGCAGTGACCGTTTACCGCAGGAAATGGAAGTGCCAGGGATTTCAGCACTGCTGCATTTCCGCCTGCGCCTGCCTGCTCACTAGCTGCTCTGGTCTGCAGCTCACCTCCAAAGACCTTGAGGGCGGCGTCTTTAGAGAGACTTGCAATAGCCCAGTGGAACACAAAGGGAGGGAGAGAATGTGGGCCTGGAAGAGAGGCTGAGCGGGCCAAGACGGTGCTTTTGGGGTTTTGTTTGTTTGCAGCAGTGCTGGACACTGAACTCGGTGCCTCGTGCCTGGGCAAAGCTCTACCACAGAGCTACATCCCCCACACCTTTTATTTTAAGACAGAATCTTGCTAACTTGGCCAGGGTGGCTTTGGACTTGGGATTCTTCTGCCTCGGCCTCCCCAGTAGCTGGAATACAGGTCTGGAATACACCCAGCAGAGCAATGCATTTGGTAAGTGTAATTTGTCCTGGTGGTTCTCACCAGTTAGAGCTCAGATCACAGATCATTCCTCCAAACAGGGAGGGAGCAAGGAGGGATGCTGGGAGGTCAGCACAGGTGTGGTGGAGGTGATGGGGGTGGCAGTAAGGCCAAGAGGGGGGCATGGGAGGGCAGCCTTGAGCGGGGCGGGAGGTTATGGAGATAGAGCTGGTCAGACGGGAAGGGATGCTGCCTGTCCCATATACAGAGCAGATTTTAAAGACATAGTAGAAAATAAAGAATGTGAGACATCTAATTATCAGAAGTGTCTTCTTCAGTTCAGACTTGACGCTGCCAAAGCTCAGAGAAGCTAAAGCGCATGCCCAGGTCTTGAAGGCAGAAGTGGCAGAAAGGAGATCTGAGCCCAGCATTCGTCTGCTTTGCTTAGATTCTGCTGAAGACTCCCTGGAGACGTTGTATCGTTCTTCTGCCTGACAAATCTCACTAAAAGAGCTGAGAAAAAGAAGGAAAAGATAATGTTCTGTACAGACAAAGGGAAAGGTTTAGGATTTAAAAGAAGAAGAAGAAGAAGAAGAAGAAGAAGAAGAAGAAGAAGAAGAAGAAGAAGAAGAAGAACACGAAGAGGGGGAGGAGGAGGAAGAGGAGGAGGAGGAGGAGGAGGAGGAGGAGGAGGAGGAGGAGCTGGGCATGGGGCAGGGAGACCTGGCTAAACCTGTGAGTGAAGGCATTTTGGGTTCCTTGAAATGACTGAAAGTTTGAACATAATGATTGTAAAATTGCAGCCCAAACACCTGGTGCAGGCGGTTGATTCTAAAAACATCACCCACTTTAAAAGATAGAGACAATTTATACAACTGTGCTTCTTGGAGGAAAAGAACAAGTACGTCAAAACCCTGGCCAAACACCGGCCTGGATTCAGAGCTGAACTCCACACGGAGCTCTCTCACGTCTGTATCCTAAACATCTTCCTGTGAACGAGTATATGTATGTGTCTATTTACATGATTAGGACTTCATAATGCATTTTACAGTTTCATCAAAATCTTAATTCTGTTCGCCTGAATCCTGGTATTTTAAAAGTCAAATAGATGGCCTGTGAGTTAAGTGCTCTAAAGCTCTGATTATGTCTCTTAATCGTTTCCAGGAACATTACCTCCCCTTCCCCGCCACCGCTGATGACCCTTTTACAGTCACTGGTGGTGGCGACGGCGGTCACTCCGATCCTGTGGGCACTGCTAATGGCGTACAGCAGGCGGCCCGTCTCGGGGGCGAAGGCCCGGATCTTGCCATCGTTCCACGCTGGGGCGAGAGGAGACAGAGGGCAGGCAGGGTCAGCACCCCTGTCCTCCCTCCAGACTGTGTGCTCCTAAAAGACAAATGAGAGTGAGACTCGGGAGAAGTGGCACTGATGGGGAAAGAAGCCACAGACAGACAGACAGACAGACACAGCCGCCCAGCCTGTCCCCACGTCCCCAAGCAGGCCAGGCCTGGCTGAGGGAAAGGAGGGTGTGTTAGTTAAAACTGCCTTCAGGGCATCCCGCATGGAGAGAAACAGCGCACCTTTGCAGGGCTGCAGACTTGTGCTTGCCGCTGGCTGGCTGCTTCGGGCCAGGCTGCATCCTTTGACAGTTCCAAATGATTCCTGGCTTCTTCCCCCATCCTCACCTCTTTCCCCCACAGCGAACCCTGCCATCATCCGTCCAGGTGCTTAACCCAAGAGCCTCGGTCCTCCTGATGGCTTTATATCCCCCCTACCCACCCAACCTGACATCTGACCCATCAGCGAATCCCGTCAGCTCTACCCTTCAGAACACTGAGGATCTGACCAGATTTCCACCCCGCACTAGTACGCCCTGTTCAAACCACGAGCCCATCTCCCCTGGATGGTTATTCTTTTGTTTGTTTCTGTAGTTTTAGGGACTGAATCCAGCGCCTTCCCAGTGAGCTGTATCCCCAACCTTTTTTATATTAAATTTTTTTGTTTTGAGACCAGGTCTTGCTAAATCACTAAGCTTCCCAGGTTGGGTTTGAATTTGTGATCCTCCTGCCTCAGCGTCCCAGAGTGCTGGGATTATTGATGTACATTACCATATCTGACTCTCCTGAATTATTTTAACAGCTCCCCACCGTGTCTCCCCCTGTTGCTTAAAACCAGTTATCTACACAGGTGTTGGAGTGAACCTTATAAAGCCACGTCACCTTTGATCAAGCTTTTCCCTCTCTATAGAGTATTAAAGAACAACCCCTTCATCCTGCACAGTACCTAGTACCTGCCCCTCTGGGGTTACTGTCTCTGAACCCCCAGCCCAGACATAACCACTGAGCCCCAGACACAGTGACCCTCTCCTTACACCAAGGGGTGTCCCACCTCGGGACCTTCTTGGACTTGCTGTCTGTCCCCTTGCATGGAACGCTTTGCCCCCAGGACTGCACATGCTGGCTGACACCTGTTCGTTTGTTTTGTGTCAATTCTTGACCTGAGCAATCATAAATGAGATGGTTGGGTGGACCCAATTCAGCAAAGTCTCAAGGAAGTGAGAGCATGAGGGGGTGTGCCATGGGAAGGTCTGGGGGAAGAACATTCCAGAAGGATGGAGCAGCTGGAGCAGAAGTGCTGCCCCCGGAGAGTTACAGGGATGGTGCTGCACCGAGTGTGCCTGGGAGGGGTGAGCAGTAGAAGCTGGCGGGGAGAAGGCGAGGTGGAGAGGAAGAAGGTGTGTGGGGACATCTGATGTCCACCGAGGCTCGTGTCCTCTGCGGGGCTTTGGGAAGTGCCTGGATTACGGGCCAGCAGCAGACGGCTGGTGGGCGGTGTGGTCTGGCAGGCAGAGGCGGTCCCCGGAGGAGTGCAGTGAAGGGTGTCTGTCCCTCCTGCTCCTTTCATGGTCCGCTTCCCGGAGCCCTTAGGCTAAGCAGCTTCTGTCCTGCCAGGCTGCTCTGCCAGGCTGCCCTCCTGCCTCGGAGCCAGCTGACGACAGCCTGAAATGTGAGCCAAGATAAACCCCCTTCTCGTCAGACAGTTGCCAGAGCCTTGCCTTTCAGAGGGGAAAAGACATTTGAGCCTTGTAAGTGGCGTGATCGGACTTGGCATGTCTGGTTTCCGCATTCAGAATACACTGGGAAAGAGTGAAGACCAGCAGCAGGTGCGGAGAGCCCTGGCTGGAAGCTACCGGAATAACCCAGGTGAGAGACGGTGGTGGCTGAGGCTAGGCGGGGATGGTGGCCGCCCTGGACAGACAGCCATCAGGGGACATGGGGTGGCATGGGAGAAACAGGGATGGCCGTGATGGCCACAGGTTCCTGACCTGTGGACTAGTCAGCTTTCAAAGTAAGGTAGTCCAGGGGCTCCTAGTGGCCACTCTGTGGAAAAGGGGACACCAACAGGGAAGGAACAGAGCCAGGCCCCGGGGAAGGGATGGGTTCCTGAGGTCCCCATTTGGATAGCTGTTCCTCATGGGTCTGTGTGACTTTTCAAGGATGTGACCCAGAGAATTTACATTTGGACCATTGAGGAAATGTGCTGATAGATTACAGATACAAAGATATTAAGAAATTATATATTCTGAGAAAAATAATTTTTTTTTCTTTTTTATCGGTACCAGGGATCGAACTCACGACTGCCTGCTTGCAAGGCAGGCGCTTATGCCGCTGAGCTAAATTCCCAGCCCAAAAAATAATTTTGTAAGACAGGGTCTCACTGCTGAGCCCAGGCTGGCCTTGAACTTGGGACGATCCTCTTTCCTCAGCCTCCCTAAATGTTGGGATCACAGGTGTATACCACCATGCCTGCATGAAAAAATATTCTTAAGAGATGTACACTGCAGAGTTTACAGGTGGACCATCACGGCATCTATAGCTTGTTAAAATACTTTGTCATATCCAGGTGTGGTGTACAGCTGTGATCCCAGCTGCCAGGGAGGCTCACAAATACTTAGTGAGACCTTGTGTCAAAATAAAAAGTAAAACAGTCAGGAGATGCGGGTCAGTGTCCCTTGGGTTCAATCCCTGGTATAAAATTAAGGCAGAACAAAAAACTTTGGCATAAACTCTTAAAAATTCCCACTAACCCGGTGGATGGTGGTCCATACCTGTAATTTCAGCACCGGGGCGGCCGAGGGAGTAATATCTCTATAAATTCCAGGCCAGCCTTGGCTACATAGTAAGTTCGAGGCCAGCCTGAACTGCAAAGTAAGACCTTGTCTCAAACAAACAAATTCCCTTTGAAGCCAAACTTTGAGCAAATTTTACAGATTTTATTTATTTATTTATTTATTTTTAGAGCTCACAGTGATCCTGAAAGCTCAGCCTCCCCAGTGCTGGTACTAAAGGCGTGTGCCACTATACCCAGCAGGGTTTACCTTTTACTCAACACAAGTATTCTAACACAAATGTCTAGTACTCACTAAAGCCTCAAACTCACTTAAAAATTGAATTACTAAATTTCCTTCTGAGCGAAATACCCATACTATGTGCAGCAGGTTGAGAGAAGAGAAATTACGTATTTACTTCCTCCAAGCTCAGAAAACCTCCTGGTTGAAAGAGAACTCTTAAGGAGAGGCTGGGGAGAGACACAGAGAAATGGGCAGCAGGAGGCAGTTAGGTTATCACTGGGAAACCAGGAGGAAAGGAGTCCCACGAGGCTCAGAACCACAGCTGGCGCCTGGGACCAAAGATCTTTTGTCTATGGTGAGAGGCAGGGCAGTTCAAGGCGGGGTCTTGTTGGAGGCTGGCCTGCGACTCACAGTGCAGCCCAGGCAGGCCTCAAACTCCTGACGATCCTCCTGCCTCAGCCTCCTAGTGCTAAGATTACATGTGTCCACCTCCGCGCTCCACATGCCGCCAGATCTTGACACCTGACCTTCCTACCTGAGATGATGCTCTTGCCGTCCCTCATGAAGTCGATGGCGTGGCAGGTCATGTTGGGCACGGTGATGCGCAGCAGCTCCCTGTTGGACATCGTGTGCCACACTCTGATGTCCTTCTTGGCGCAGGTGGCAAACAGCTCAGAGGTACCACTGCAAAGAAGCCGCGGAGGGGTCAGCGGCGCGGCCAGGAAGGACACAGCGCTTCTCACACGAGTGTCTGACGCCAGCCAGCATGCGCCGGTCAGAGACCCACGATCGCCTGGAGGCTGAGAACCTTGGAGATTTCCCGTGCAAAGCTGCGTCAGCATCCTCAGAGCACCTGGGAAAATCCTGCAGCCCTTTCTGCTTGGGCAGGGTTAGGGCCGAGGTGCTCGGGAAGAAAAAGCCAATTTGAAATTTCTCTTAGTTTTGGAAGACAAGGGGATAGTGACATTTCTTAAAAAAAAAACAAAACACTGTATTAAAGTATGATTGATTCAGAAAGCCGTATGCATCTAATTTATATAACTTGAGGAGTTTGGAGATAAGTATATACCTGCTAAGGGATATTTCTAGAAATAAAAACATATTTAAATTAATATTTATTTGCTTTCAAATTAAATTAATGTTTAAAAGAGGAAACTCTTTACCATAAAGTAGAAAATCTTATTAAGATTGTGAAGAGGAAAAAGAGGAAGATGATAGAAATCATCTCTGTAGGCAGCTGAAAAGTCTTTCTTTGCTTAGAAATAGGAAAAATATGAGATCATGAACAAGGCAGATTATCCCAGAGTCATGAGTCCAAGGGTTAGAAACAGACACATGCACACGCCCAGAGGCAACTTGTCTATAGAATTTAAATTACCAATATATCAAAAGATTACAGATTACTCCAAGTTTGATAAGAAGAAAATGATATTAGGGTATAACAGACCATTTTATTTATAAATATAAACATGTAGTCTCTACAGACTAAAACTAACGTTTAGAGCTAAATACTTCTCATTAATTTCTATATTTAAAAAAAAATAAAGGAACTGTCCCTTCCCTGTTTTCTAGACTCTACTCAGTTGGAATTAACAGAATAAATAGGCGGATCCCTTCTACACATTTAGCTTTGGGGCTTGGAGTTAAAGCAGTGATGCAGGTCTAGTTATTTAAAAAGACCAAGTCCTGGAACCAGACAGCAGGTGTGGGGCTGCTCCTAGCCAAACGGTCTTGCCTGGTAGAGATCAAATCAAGCCAGTGTCAGAATAATAGTTGTTTAACAGAAAAACAAGCTCATAATGGGGGAGACAGACTATTCCAACATCAGGAAACTAATGCCCCTAGAGAACTCCCAAACCCGCTGCTGTGGGGACTACCCAGCTCCCCAGCCATCTGAGGCATAAACGCTCGAGCCTAACTGAAAATCCTACTCCCTTCATGTAGGAAAATGTCCTAAGTTTACGTTGTGCGAGTCAAAGTCCAGAAAGAACCAAAGCGACTGAATCATGGTGCCATCCCAGGCCCTCACTCCCTTATTGACCAGGTCTACGGCAGTAAATTGTACGTCTCATGATCTGGCAGCCGTCACACCTGTGGTGCATGCATGGCTGGCCTGTCAGGCAGCTTTTATTGATTTTATTAGTAAAAAAAAACTGGTCAAAGCCACTAGAGCTGTTTTGTGCCATGGGGGTACGTGTATCACTAGGGTTCAAGTCGGCAGAGATGTGATCAGATGCTATGAGATGGAGGTGTATACATAGGGACACAGACATACATATATTTTTTTGTATGTATTTTTCCCCAGTGACTCATAAATCATTCAAAGCAAAGAAATCATGGAAAAGACAGTTTCATCTCCACACAGACCCTCCGGTTACTGCCAAACCATGCAAGCCCGCAAGAGAAGGAAGGCCAGGCTAAACATGCAGCAGGGGGAGCCGGGAGGGCATCTGTCTCCACATGCCAGGGGAAAGGAAAAGGTGCCAGCCACGCTCGGAGGACACAGCTGCTGCGGGGTGTGTGAGACACGGCAAGTGTTCAACAATAACAGCAGAACCCTCTCGACAAGCAAAGAAAGAAGAAACTGACTGGGAAGGGCAGGGGCAGAGCGTGTGCTGAGCACGCGTGAGGTCTGGGGTTCAGTAACACACAGAAGCGGGGAGCGGGGAGGGAAGGACAGCAAGGAGAGAAAGAAGCAGATGCCAGGTGGGCCCGAGGACTGATCAGCAGGCAGAAACGTCAACGCAGCTGTTTAAAACGTTAAAACGCCTTCAAAAGATTAGAGCTGGGCATGATGGCACACACCTATACATCCCACTACTTGTGAGGAGGATCCCAAATTCAAGGACAGCCTGGGCAACCTAGAGGGACCCTCCTTTTTTTTGCTGTCTTTTTGAGTCAGGGTCTCACTATGCAATTCAGGCTGGCCTTGAGCTCACTTTGTAGCCCAGGCTGGTCTCAAACTCACAACAATCCTCCTGCCTCAGCCTCCCGAGTGCTGGGATTACAGGCATGAGCCACCATGCCCGGCTTCCCTCTTTCAACATTAAAATAAAAAGGGCTGGAGATGGAGCTTAGAGGAAGCATGCTTGCCTGGGATGCACAGAACCCGGGTTCACCCATCCCTCTGCACACCCCACCCCCCCGTGGAAAAAGATAAAGGAAACTGTGATGTCAATAAATACATAAACAGTTATCTCAACAGAGAACTAGAGATTATTCTGTATAATGTAATTCCATATTTTTCTGTAAGTTAAAACTATAAAAACAAATCATGGGCTCATTGGAGATGACAAAAGAATCTGAACTTGAAGATTGATTTAGTAGACATTACAGGATAAAAGAAGAGAAAAACTAAAGAAACATAAACAGCTAGAAATCTGTGGAAAAACGTTAAGTTATTCAACCCATGTGGACTGAACGTCAGGAGAAGGGGGGAAGTGTGACAGGTTCTGAAGAAATACGGGCTGGAGACCTCCTCCTTTAGTGGAAAATGCCAGTTACAGATCCAGAAGGCTTACAGACTTCAAGCCGGTGATCACAGAGAGAAAGAAACTTGACCATCAATAAAGCAGAGCAGCAGGGTGCGGGGAGGGAAGGGAAAAGCAGGAGACGACCTGGACAGCAGGTAGACACAAGTGACATGCGATACAGAGGGGGCGGAAAGAGCACAGAAAGCATCCTCAGTGTGCTCCACGGAATCTAGAACATGCACATCATCAGACTCATGAACAAACCGGAAACAGAACTCAAAAACTGAAGGCTAGAAAAAGATGCTATTAGACAAAAACCGAGGGAATGTTTCTTCAGACTTGCTTTTTTTAAATGCTAAATTCTACAAGCTGAGGGGAAAGATACCAAATGGTACCTAACTATATAAAAAAGAATGAATCTGGGTACGATAGGAATCTCAGCTCCTCCAGAAGGTGAGGCAGAAAGCTTGCAAGTTTGAGGCCAGCCTAAGCCTTTGAGAAAGACCCTGTTACAAAAATAGGGGGCAGAAGCAAGGCTGGGGTGGTAGTTCCGTGGCAGAGTGCTTGCCCAACGTGAGTGAGGCCTTGGTTCAATTCCCGGAACCACCACCAAAAAAACAAAACCAAAAGTGTATCAGAAAGGCCGAAATCTGTGGGTAACCACAAAAAATTGTTGAATGCTTTGCTCCTCCATTTCCTGAAAAGATTTACAATTGTTTAAAACAAAAAATTATACTATCGTATCATTGGGCTTATTATATTAACAGGGTAGCTGTTCCAGAATTCTTGTACCTATTTTACTGGGAAAAATTAAATTTTAACTCTAATTAGACTTTGGAATATTCAAGATGTGTAATGCCATCCTTCGAGCTATCGCTACAATTGAAAACAGAAATGCTCAGCTAGAAAGCCAACAGAGCAATTAAGAGAAACGCTGAGAATAACTGATCATCACGAAAGGCGGCAGCAAGGGGGCAGCAGAACAAACCACAGACCAAAGAAAACAAACTGTATTAAATGTAAATGGGCTAGATATTCCAAATAAAAAGCAAGGTTTTGTGACTGTATAGGAAAGCAAGAATCAATTACCTGCTGTTTCAAGAAATGTCCTTTAGATATAAATATATAGAAAGCCAGGCATGGTGGTGCATGTCTGTAATCCCAGCACTTGGGAGGCTGAAGCAGGAGGATCACCACAAGTTCAAAGCCACACCCTCTGGACCCAGAAGACCCCAGTCTACCACAGAGTCCTCCAAACACGGAGGACTCCAAGAGCATCCAGTGAGTAACTGGGAAAAATTTGGGTGAAAGGCACTGGGAAAACAGGAAAGTTTTGCCCAGTAAACACTCTGTCCATGAAGGGTTTATTTTTCAAAATTTGCATTCTAAAGAGGCCCACATGTGGACTGGGAGAAAGAATGTCATTTCATGGTAAAGACAACAGGAAGCTTTAAAAAATTAATTCAGTACACTAGAAACATGTAAGGGGAAATCACACTTAGTTAATAGAGGTTAAACATGCAGTTCCTTAGATTAATTTTTCTCACACACTGCACCACACTGCCCCTGCTAATGTCTTCTACTTACAACGGAAAGACGACGTCCTGGACAGCTTCAAAGTGACACGTTGCAATGAGAGTCTCTTTGAAGTCGGTGAAGTTGACACGGTAAATGTGTGATTCTTCTGTTCCGACGAAAAACTGGTGTCCTTCTCCTCGAAGCGTGATAGAAGTGATGCCGCCTTGCAACTGAATTTTTCTTTAAAGGAAAAGACAAAAGTTAAAGTGGATTCACATGGCCATCACGTATTTATTGTGCACCTGAAGCGTTGTAGATGATACAAATCAGGTGTGTGATTTGGGGCACACCCCACAGGAAGTGACACTGTTGGAGCAGCGTGAGTTAGTCATGGTATTGTGCACCCGTAAAACACTCAGAAGATCCATCAGTCAGATGCGGTCTGAAGTGGGCTGTGCAACACAGGCAGGCTTTGGGTAGGAGGAACATTCTGGGCAGGGTCACGGGAACAAATGACCACGGCAACTTAAATCCTTCATTCTCTCTCTGGAAATGAACCCTAAAGCTGGGGAAGGGAGACCATTTATCAAAGGGTGCTACTGAAACCTTATCTAAAACAGTGACAAAACGGAAACGATCTAAATACCCAATTGTAAAGGAATTGTTAAATGATCGGTAGGACATAACTTCATGGAATATTTGCCTGGCCGTGAACAGTTTTAAAGATTGTGTCATTTATATATATTTCACCATGATAATAAAACCATATGTAGGTCTGGGCATGGTGGCACGGGCCTGTAATCCTAGCATTTGGGAGGCTGAGGCAGGAGGATTGCTGTGAGTCGGAGGCCAGCCTGGGCAATGTAGTGAGCTCAAGTCTAGGCTGAACAACATAGTGAGACCTTGTCTCAAAAAAAGAAAAGAAAGGAACTAACAAAATAAATAAATAATATGTAGTAATACTGAAAATATTTGATGCATACCTTCATGAAGTAAAAAGTCAGTAAATAAAATTTTACATATAAG